ATTGGATTGGTAACAGTGAGGTTTTGTTGACAGTCAGAAGGCTTAGACCTTGCTTCTCAACATCCCACTTAGATGTCTACAAGACCTGTCAAGTCAAAATGTCTGAAATGGAATCAAAGTGGATTTCTCCCCATCCCAAACTTGTCCCACCTATCTCACATAAGTCAGTATCTTCATTCTTGCAGGTGTTCAGGCACAAACTGTGGCATCACCTTGACTCACACCCAATATTCGGTCTGTTAGCACCTATGGCTTTGCCTTCAAAATATATCCAGAATTTTATCTCTTCATCTTATTACCTTACTACTCTCACCTGGACCAGCCACCACCATTTCCCCACTAATTTCTCTCTTTGTACCCATCCCTTGTCCCCTCACCATCTTTTCCTAACGATTCTGCTGAAACATGAGGAAGTAAGTCAGATATGTCATTCTTCTGCTTAAACTCCTTAATAGTTCTAAATTTCACTCAGGGTACCAGCCAGAGTTGTTATAATGGCCTGCAAGGCCAACCAAGATTTTGCTATCCTATTCCCTCTGTTACCCCATCTCCACTACTCTTCCACTAGCCATATTGTTATCCTTCTTATTAAATAATACCTCAGTGCCTTTGCATTTGCTGTTCCTTCTGTCTGGAATGTTTTGCCTCTAGGTTTCCGTATGGCTTTCTCCCTCACTTTCTTTAGGTCTTTATTTTAATGCTGTTTCTCAATGAGGTCTGCCTTGACCACTTATTTACAATTGTTCTCCCAACCCTACAATAGACCCTCCCCATTCCCCTACTTTATTTTAATTTTCTGTGTAGCATATATCTACCTGTTAGCTTTGTGAGCAACCATCCTAGTTTGCCTGAGATTGTCCCAGTTTCAGCATTAAAGATCCCACATCCTAGAAAACCCCATAGTTCCAGGAAAACTGAGATGGTTGGTTACCCTACTGATATACTATACATTTTACTTCTTTATTGTTAGTATATTAACAATAGAACAATGTATTTCTATTGGGATAGACAGTAGGGATTTTGGCTGATTTGTTTATGATATCCAGGGAACATAGTAACTTCTCAGTAAATATTTATTTAACAAATAAATGGAGAACCAATAATGACTATGATAACTTAGGATCATCCAGTGTTTAGTATTGAGAATGATAAATTATCAATAATTATATGTTTAAAGAACAAATGAATATGCCCTGGCTGGTATGGCTAGTTGGTTGGAGCGTTGCCCTGTACAGCAAAAGGTCACAGGTTTGATTCCTGGTCAGGGCACATACCCAGGTTGCAGGTTCAATCCCCAGTTGTTTGGGGGGAGTACAAGAGGCAACAGATTGATGTTTCTCTCTTCCTCCCTCCCTTTCCCTTCCTCTCTCTCTAAAGTAAATAAAAAGAAAACATATCCTCAGGTGAGGATTTTAAAAAAATAGTAAATGAATAAATTTCCTAAAACATGTACTATAACCCTAGTTGCTATGTTAATTGCTAATATATATGGAAATATGACCCTAATTAGCATTTCCATTGCTAATTCTGCTTTATGGATGCTATCTACAATTTTTTTTGTACTCATGACAAAAAATAATTTATGTATGACATATAGTGTCATGCACAACTTCTATAGACCCTCATTGATTTAGCACATACCTGATTAGGGAATTATGCATACTTTATGTACAGATGATTAGATGGACCTTTCCCCAAAGCCTGGAGTTGCTCAGGCCACATCCCAGCAACACTCATGCCTGCCCAGCCCCCAGCCTCGCCCCCACCCTGTTCCTGCCCTGAAGTTCTGCACCCTCACCACTTCAGAACTAAACTGGTTAGAAAAGTTGAGCCATAATCTCTACACAGTTATAATGACTATAGATCTCAAACTTTTCAAAAGAAAAAAAGATCTGGCAAACTATTCATATAAAAATAAAAAGCTTTCTGAGGTCCAATGGGGTCTTTTCAAGAGGTACAGGTAGTCCTGGAAGAGACCTGAAGAACAGGCAGGGAAAGGAGATAGGGACAAACATGTCCTATTCCTGTCGGGGGCGGGGTAGGCCCTTAACAAAATTGAGTGGCTCAGAGGCAATTAAAAAGAACACAAAGACTCCAACCAGTGAAAAGCTTGTGAGGACAGGACAAAGAAAGAACTGGAAGAGCTGGGGGAAAGGGCAGGATGAGTTGTGTCCACATCTCCAGCGTGAATCAGTGCCCGACTTGGTTAGGTGGCTACGGTAACTTTTCTAATTAAGACAGTAGAGTGGCTGGATGCCACCCACCCCTCACTGTAATGAGGGTCCCACTTCAGGAAGTGGCTTTGGCTTCCAGGGAATTTATCTGGTGATGTAAGCATCCGGGATCTAAGAGTAATTTCTATTCTGGTTCCCTGCTCCTTTCTCCATGCATCATTCTTCACTCAAATTCTAGTCTAATACAACCACCACCTGAGCTAGACCTAAGGATAACACAATAAGACAAAACCCATTCCAACTCCACTTAGTTTTCCCTCAGCTCTAGGGAAAGGCCTCCTGCTCTGGAAACTTGTTACCTCCTGTCCCCTCTCAAGCTCCTCGGCACATTGGAATAACCCGGAGAGCTATAAACACTGCTGGTGCCTGAGCATTGGGATTTCTAAAACTCTCTGAGTGACTTTAACGTGAGAACCACTGCTCCAGATCCTGAGCTGTGGACAGATAACCTTTTGGATGAATATCCTGTGGGTCACTGTACCTGTCTGGGGCGGGGTGGGGGGAGAGGGTGTGGAGAGAGAGAACAGATGACATGGAAGGCAGATGCTGACTTGAGGGGAGGAAGACAGCTTGCTGTGCTGGGGATGTCCAATCCCCATGTCTAAATGTCATCAGTCCCAGGACATTTGGAGACTGCAGTCAGTTGCAAAAGTGAGTAAAATATTGATTTTTTAAATGAGAATATATCAAATTTTTTCACATTTAGCTGACCAGTTCAATAGCTCAAGAGAATAAAATCCAAGAGTAAGCATGGTCTAGCCCTAAGAGGGTGCTTCTGAAGCTTGAGTGTGCCTCCAGCCACCTGGAGAGCTTGTGAAAATACATCATGGGCCCACCCCAGGCATTCCTATTTAGTGGGTCAGGTTGGGGCCAAGAATGTGCATTTCTAATAAGTTCCCAGGTATGTTGATGCTGCTGGCTGAGGGACCACTCCGTGAGAACCACTGCATTAGAGTGGTTTCACAGTGAACCGAATGAAGTGACATCTCCATCTGAAGCTGTTTACATCAGTTGTGTAAGCATGGTATGCCTTAAAAGTACAAAGTCATCAAACCGAAGGAACAGAAAAAACTGAGGCAAAAAGTGAGGTGTTAGATTGGTCAAAAATAACATTAAAATAGTTAAAAATAATTGGAAAGATAAGACATTTTTCTCCCTCACTTCCTTCTTTCAGGTATTTGGTTCAGAGAATTGGATAATTCTTTGAGGATAATATGGTATTTTATGAAATGATATATGTAATATTGGCCTGAAAAAAATCAATGTAGTTTCCAGAAATGCTTCACTTTACTTCTGGCTGATAATCTTTGTATCTAAAAAAAATCATTCTAATAAATCAGTAAAAGACCCTGGCAATGCCGAGACCGGTTTGGCTCAATGGATAGAGCGTTGGCTTGGGGACTGAAGGGATCCGGGTTCGATTCCGGTCAAGGGCATGTACCTTGGTTGCGGGCATATCCCCAGTGGGGGGTGTGCAAGAGGCAGCTGATCGATGACTCTCTCTCATCGATGTTTCTAACTCTCTATCTCTCTCCCTTCCTCTCTGTACAAAATCAATAAAATATATATTAAAAAAAAAAAGACCCTGGCAAGCCTTAGTTTGTGGATAAAGCCCCATTAAGGATTTTAAATTAAAAAATTCATTAATGAGACTGTTGGCAAAGCTGCTAAAAATCTAGTAAAGATAGCTGGAAGTCTGGTCAAATATGTTCTTTCTGACATTCTCCATTTTCTATGATCCCATATAATAAAAGCCTAATCTGCAAATTGTTCGATTGACCAGGAGTTCAACTGGGACTTTGAATGCTTGCAATGACATAAGCTGACCACCAGGGGGTAGCATGGAACATGGTGGACGTTGGTGATGCGGTGCTTCAGTGGAGGTGCTGCCAGCCCTAATGGGTCCCAACAAGAGTGGGACCACTGTGGGATGGTGGAGCCGGTGAATGGGTGGTACCAGGCCAAGGCGAGGTTCCAGGCAGGGCTGCGAGGCTAGGAGCACGAGCTGGGCCCCAACTCATGCTCCCAGCCTCACAGCCCACCCCAAGGGATTCCACCTATGCATGAATTTGTGCAGTGGGCCTCTAGTTACTAAATAAGAAAACAGGTATTTCACAAAGTTAATTCTGTACAATCAATGCATATTTGATTAATCCTGGAGTGAATTCAATCTGCTAAAGTTATCTAGAAAATATAACAATGGGGGCGGGATCATTCTATTAAGCAATAGTGTTCCTACTTTATTTAATAAGGTCATTCAGCTGGGACACCGGCATGCAGTCATAAATAGCATAGATGACTAGAAGTCAGATGGATGGCTTCTTTATCTACTGTCTACCCTTCTAGTGGTGCCCAGTAGCTTGGTATTAGAAACACACTAGCAAACTGGTACTGTCAGATTTTTGTCTCAGGAATGCTTAGGAAAGCAGAAAAGATAATGCCTCTTTCTAAAGAATGTTAAGTTGAAACCAGACCATCTATATTCTCCACATTCACTGATTAGAGAGATTGTGAATACTTTCCCAGCTTTCCGGAGTTCTTTATCTATGTAGCGCTGGCTTCAGGCAAAGCCCATTCATTGTTTGTTCCACTTGTTTGCAATGCTAGATTTTTTTACCTAGGAATGTCTCACTTTCACTGAACTAATGAAAACACAGCCTCAGGAACAAAGATGGCAAGATACCAAAATAAGTAAGTTTGTTTTTTGAATAGGAAAAAGCCCAGCTTTGACTTTAAAAATGGGTCTCTGATTATTAATAGACTTACTTGCTGATAATGAGTGTTTCCTCTCCACATACCCAGACTCTAATGAACTCTCCGTACATCTTGTTGTAGTAGTTGCAGGCACTGCCAATCCCCATCCACAGGAACCTGAAGTGGGAGATGAGGGGCCCAATTCCCATACAATAGCCAGGACCTAGGAAAACCATCAAGTCACAGTCAGCATTCCAGTTACATCAAAAAGAGAGGCTGCTTTTCTACTGCTGTTCTTGTTCTTTTTATACCTAAGTGTTTTTTTTCACATCTCCTGATGTATATCTGTGAATCACTAAAAATTAAAACAAAACAAAACAAAACAAAACAATAAGCTTAACTAGAATTTCTTTACCCCTCCATGAGTAAAAAGAAATTCATTGTCCACACCATACTAGTTCCATTTGGTCTCAATCATTTCATTTAGAATGAACTAGAGCATGTGTCTACTGTTTTCTTGCCATGTTAAATGATGTCACTGAGTTTCAAATACAAGTTAATCAGTCTGTCAGTTATAAGCATAGTCACCAGGGAAAATGACAAACTGATAGATTTGTTTGACTGCCTAGTTTTGTCTGAAAACTTTTGGTTTAAATCCCCCAGTTGACCTAATGGGTGGATCAGAATTAGGTTGTAGTTTTGATATAAACTTTTATAAAAGTGTAACCTTTTAAACTAAGAAAAACATGGTCTGCAAAGGTAATGTCCAAACAAATAATATTCATTCTTCAAAAAGTACTCAGTTTAAGAAAAGAATATTAAGCTAAATCTCATTAGGCAAAATAAAGCTAAAACTTGAAGTAGGCAGTGAGTCTGATCAGTTTTTAGACTAGAGTTTTAGTCCTTCAATGTGGTTTTACTCAGCGACTTTCATCCTTGCTTATGCAGACAAAGATAGAATTTTAAAAAATTAATTGGTTTATTGATTCTAGAAAAAGATGCAAGGAGAGAGAGAAATACTGATTTATTATTCCATATATTTATGCATTCATGTATAAATTGGTTGATTCTCATATATGCCCTGACTGGGAAGGTGCTCCAACCAACTGAGCTACCCCTCCAGGGCAGAATTTTGAAGATAGGAATTCAGTGAACAACTATGGAATTTTCTGTTGCTTATATCAGATATCAAACTTGGTAGCTTGAATTTACCAGTGGTGGTGAAAAGTTAGATAAAGGCTTTAAAAAAAGATTTTAGGAATTTATGTATAAAGTATTAGTTTTCTAAATCTTATTCTTTAATTACATTCTGTTAGTGAAATAGTTATAAAGCAAAACATGCACAACTGTGTGAGGGAGTATTCTCACTTTATGGGCAGTAGTTGTGTAATAATAATCTAAGCTTTTTTTTTTGAGTAAACTAAATTAGATGTTTAGTTCCAAATTTGGCAGACCAAGTTCTTAATTATCCAAGAGTTGCATTAAATGTGGGCAAGACTGTTAGCTGTTTTTCTTTAACATGAAGAACTTTGTTCACATCTATAGAAGAAAAACATTTTCAAAAGGTTCTTAATCTTTTATACTAATAACACTATATTATAAGTAGATAACTGACTTTATATAAAATAATTTCATTAAGTTCTTAAAAAGATTTAAATAAGCAAGTTTAGTTGAATATGTATTTCCTTAAAAATGTCATGAGATATACTAACCTGCTATCAATTGAAATATGCATAACAAAATACTTGAAACATTGTAGATGACTCATAAATGTTTTCTGAATGAATTTCTTAAATTAATTAGGTGTATATATAATATTGAAAATAAACTTTTACATGCCATTCTTTTTAGAGTATTTTAGGTTGCACTTACATTTTTATAAAAATAGAAAAATATCATTGTATCAAATACATTCATTCCAAATGAGGTCAAACATCTGGCTATTTGGAAGTAGATTTATTCAACATTTGCTTCCTCAATGTCCTAGACTCATGAGAAACAAAGGCTGCACTTTTCATTTTTTATCTAAAAAGTTTGGGAATCACCATTCAAATATAAAAGATGACAGTGCAGAGTTTTGTCTACTCAAAAGGGAGACTGCAATGAACTTTACTTAGGTTGGAAACATGAGTGTTCTAAGCAGAAGAGAATCAGAGTGTTGGGTCCTTTAGTGATCATTCATATGTCAACTTAATTCATCCAACAAACACTTACTGAAACCCAACTAGGTATAGACACTAGCTCCAAATTAGGAATTAGAGTGTAAGTAGGTCCCCAGCAGAATCCCGGCAGGAGGGGAGAGTATGTAAAGAAAAAGTGCAAAATCAAGCAATTATAACACAGTATAATCCTTTCATTTACACACATATCTTACCCCTTCCAGCCAGAGAGAAGAATGCTCTAGGAGGGGAGAAACTTCAGTAGGAAATTAGGGAAATACTCTGGTTGCAGCCACATACTAAGCTGCTCTCTGCCTCTAGGTTTTGGAGGTGCGTATCTAGACATGCAACATATGCAGGAGCCGTTTTCACCCTAAGAGAAGCAGTAGTAAATGCTTGACTGCAATTTAGTATAGAGACAGCCTTTGTGAAGCCAACAACTGGGCCTCTTTCCTGCTATCTAATGAAAAAGCTGTTGTATGAAAGGTATTTCACACTGGTTATACCCGCTAAGAGAAGCCTGCACACACGGATGTTCATAGCAACACTATTCACAATATGCCCCAAACTGAAGACACCCCAAATGCCTTTCAACAGTAGAAACAATAATTAAATATAAGATGTTTGTGTAACCACAACCCATATGAACTACAGCTACAGGCCACCGTGAGGATGAATCTTACAAGTATAAAATTGAGCAAAAGAAGCAAGATAGAAGAGCAAGTAATATAGGATCCCATTGCTAAAACATTTAAAATCAGGCAGCACTAAACTACATATTGTTTGGGATGTGAAATTAGGTGGTAAAACTGTAAAAAATGCAGGGAGTAATTGTCACCTAACAGAAGCACGTTTACCGTTGCGGGGAGAGAGGGTATGATTGAAAAGACACAAGAGATGTTTTTGGGAACTCTGCTGACATTCTATTTTTTGTCCCGGAGCATGATGGCATGTTTATTTGTGCTCTATTCCATAAAATATTTTCTTAGAGGAGAAAAGAGAATGTATTGCTGTGTCCTTTCCCCTGGGTCCCCTGTGGGGACCTGGTGCCCAGAGCAGAGAGAGGCTCTGGGGGAGAAGACCCATGTGCAAGGTTGGGGAATGGCTGTGTGTTTTGGGGAAAGAGCTGCCAGGTGCCAGGAACTGTGAATCTTGCACAAAGATCGGTGAACTCTTAGCATTTCCCCAGAACTGAAGTTTTTAGAGCTCCTAATTCCTCACCCAGACTCTCATAGCTCTCCCTGGCATGGAGTCACTTGTCTGTGTATCATCTCTATACCCCCATGTCTCCCTCACCTCCCAGAGCCTGATGTAGCAGGGACAGTCACTATATGTGGGTTAAAGAAGCTTAGACTTGAGTCCGAGTTTCATCACTTAGTAGACATGCAATATTTACCCTCTTTTAGTTTCAGGTTCTTTATCTGCAAAATAGGCAGAAACACACCCACCCCACCAGAGTGCTATGAGGATCACAAGAGAAAATGTGTATGAAGTTGCTGTGTTGTAAACTAACTTAAACTTAAGGGCTTTGAATCATTGCACCTTCTTAAGCTCCTTTGGCTTTTGCTGACTCTGAGCTTCCCCAAACCTAAAATTGAGAACCCAGAGAGAACAGTGACGAGAGGGAACTGGCCAAAGGAGTTTAGAAGTATTGGTTGAAATTAGCCCAGGAAAGCCAATTTCCTCACTTTTCCTACCCTAACAAGGAACATGGGATCTTAGAGTCTGTGCCACAGAGGATTCTGAGCAGACCTCACATTTTCAAAGGGAAAGCCCGGACCTAGAAGATCCCTGGCTAGCAAAATGAGCAGCCACGTGGGAAGTAGGGCTTCTGGTTGCCCCATCATACATGCACTTTCACTTTCCATGCAGCTGGGCATCTGACAATAGCTGTAAGATGGGGAGATTGGACTTCATGGTTTCTCATTTTTGTCAAAATCATTTGCTGGGCGCAGCAGATCGCCTCTCTGGGACTCAGTATCTCCTTCTGTCATATGAAGGTGTTGGGCTTATATCTGTGGCTCTCAACCCTGGCTGCTTAGGAAAAATCACTTGGGGAGATTTTTTTCAAATATCAGTCTGGGGGCCCCTCTTCAAGTGTGGCTGAGAGCCACAGCACTATGTGACCTGGCAGTGTATGGCAGCATGATGTCCCCTGCCCACAGCAGGGGCAGAAAGCGTGGCCACCGAGGCTCCTGACCCATAGCTCCAGGGATGCCAGTTCTCATACTTGCCCCCTAGATTGACCTCCTCACTCATGGGGCTGAGGGAATTCTGCCACCACCTGCAGCATAAACGTGTGTGTGTGTGTGTGTGTGTGTGTGTGTGTGTGTGTGTGTGGCGGGAGGAGGGATTAGTTTAAAATGCACCTACTTCACCTCCACTATTCCTGGAATCTGACCGGGGAGCCCACTGGGGAAGAAGAAGTTCAGTGAGAAAGGATTTCAAGTTAAAGACCATGGAAGAACCTTCCCTCAGACCCCATCAGGAGTAGAGAAAAAATTAAATGTTTTGTTAAATTGGGCATCACAGTAACCTAAAGTACCAGGCTGAATTAGACAGAGAGACAGGCAGTTCTCTGAAAATTCTTAAAGAATCCAGACACAGGGCACTTTGCAACGGTTCCATACTCCAGCTCTAAATTACTCTGTGTTGAGGCACACCGCTCTTGGAAGTGTGTAATGACTATGCTCCTGTAAAGGATATAGTGTAATGACTATAGCCTTACTGTACAGCTCATGGGATTGGGGCAGATGCCTGCCACAAGGAATTTTCACTGAAAACTAAAAAACTAGTCTGATATTTCTGGTTCATTCTGAATTAATCTGATGGTGGTGGAGTGCTAGGGGTTTCTAGTGAATTTATCTGGTTATTTATATTATACTCTACTTTTGATGGACCCACAGATCTTGTTGAAGAATCTATCCTGGTGTGATGTTCAAAGGAAATTGTAGTGGTCCCCATTCTTCCAACTGCCCAGGTCTCATCCAGTTCTTATGGTGGCACTGTTATCACCCCCCTCCCCTTAAGAACATAAGAAAATGAAGAGAAAGCAGGGAGAAGGCTTGGATGAGGCAGAATGGGAAGGAGAAGGAAAGGAGTACAGAAGGTATTCCAGAGACTTTTCCACTTTCAGAGCAAAATTGGTATGAATTTGAATCCAACAAATAAACAACAACAACAAAAAAAAAACCCTGAATTTTTACCTTACTCCTTCCAGTCTCAAACTTACATGTTAAAGGGTTTGTGCCAAGTCTGCCTTACCAGAGATAATTACAGAGTAGAAGGTGTTATCTAATATATTTTAAAATAATTTTTAAAATGTACAGATAATTTATATCACAATTTTCACCTGAGTCTTCATTTGCTAATGTTGCTGTGGGATTCAGCTCTCTCCCCAGGTCTTTTTACAAAATTTTCTTTACCCTCATGGACCCAAAACCCAAGTAAATAATCTTAGACACAAAATAAATGATGACTTACCTGGGATTGAAGATGTGTCCTCATAATTCCAGATCAAAAAAAGAAAGCCAGTGAGCAGCAGGATGGGCATGGTGGCAACAGGAACAGCTTCGGGCACTACGTTGGTAATGTTATAATGCACTGGGTTCAGCATTTCCAAAATCATACTCTGTTCCTCTAGCTCAATGGAGGCAAGTTAAAGTCCTGTGGAAATCGAAGGGGCCGAAAAATTAGAGAATTCCCCAAGAGATATAGCTAGGACTCCTTCCCTGGAGAAGATGCTGTACTGTAGAGAGCTGCACTTGGTTTTATACTGTGATTGGACACTTAGACAAGACAAATTTGACTTGTGGGTACAAGTCAAAACAAGCAAGCCCAAGAGAGATCTTTTGGCTTGACATGCAGCATTTCTGACCTTGATAGAGTCTCAGGTTCATTTAGACGCTTGGTCTGATAGAACCTTATCATTTTGCCCTTGAGTGGATAGAGTGACTGAATTCCCAATCGAGAGCCACATTTCTTACCAAAATACCAAAAAATGAAGAGGTGGAGTCATTCTGTGACTTCATCAGCAGATTTTCTGAAGGCAATCTTTTCCCCTTGCAGCCAAATCACTTTTTTTTTTTTTAAAGCAATCCCCCCCACACCCTTCCTTGCTCAAAATTGCTTTTCCCAAAGAATAAGCTTCTCTAGCAAGCATGTGTTTCTTGGTCATCAGTGAGGCATTCTCAGAGCCCCCCATTAGATTGTCTATTGAATTCAAGTTGACTCACTGAGGACAAGTGAGGCTTAAAACATTTTGCATCACAGGCTGAATTAAGCAATGCCTGTGGGGGCCAATGTCCGAGGTAATAGGAAAGAAGAATGGGTGAGAAAGAATAAAGAGGAGGAGAAAGAACAGGAATTGGAAGGAGGAAGAAAAGAAAGGACAAAGTAGAATGCCACCTGCGATAGATAGGCTCAGGTGCCACTCAGCAACCTTGCTCCTCACGGCAGCTAATCTCCTGTGTAAGATGATTTTCAGTTTGATGATTTGCTGGTTCTGTTTTTCAACAACATAACATTGAGCCTGTCTTTACAGTAAGGTTTCCTAATATCTATATTCTCAAGAGATAGTTTCAGAGATGCTGATTTGTTGAAGTTACCTAGATTGGATAGATTTGTAGGGAGAGGAAAGAGCACCATTCAATGCAGTTTCCCAGGGGCTGATGACTCCTTCAGGGTTTATCTTCCCTTAGAAAGTGCCTGAAGTTTCCAGGACTTGTAATGGCTCTGAAACAGATTTTGGTTGGGTTTTATCTAGTAATAAAGTGCTAGATTCTTAGCCAGGGCTTCTAATTGGATTTTAGGGACTCTGTGAACTCCCTGAAATGCTGCATAAAATGCTGTATCTGCTCATCTGCCCCTTTTTAGGGGGAAAGAAGCTAGACCTCTCATCACATTCTTAGAGACTGTGTACTAATAATTCTCCCAAGACCCATATGAGATCTTAATCATCCAACCCAGGACCCATTTCTAACAACTACTTTCATTTGCTTGATTCAGTTTATTTTCCCACTTTTTAAGTAATCATTAACAGTTAAGTGTAAGACACTAAAAATACCTGTACATGTATTGAAAAGTTAGTGTGTTAGTGTGTGTGTGTGTGTAAAGTAGAGACTGGAATTCAGCAGTGTTTTTGTAATTATCTGGTTCCTTTGCACAGGTTGAGTTTCTTGGTTTTTAATTTCCAGAATGGAATTTGATATTCTGAGTAAGCTCCTGTGACTTTCTAATAGCAGGACCCTCCAGGTTTCTATTCATATTGATGAAACTTGAAACCAGTGTTAAAAGTGAAAGTGATTGTGACAAAAAGGAGGATGATGTCACAAAGGAAATGATGCTGGCAGAAAACTTCACATTAAAGGAACTCTGAGATATTTCACAACGTTGAAAACACAAGGGATAAAATATTGGGAGCTGATGGAAATTTATAAAGGAGTATGACAATTCACCAATGTGCTCACCAAGGTATGCTCCCTTGGTATCCTAAGTTATACAAAGAAGGCATGACCTGTTCAAATTCTCTTTATATGTGTGCTTTTTAAACAAAGAAAACCCTAAGAATTGCAGTATTTCTAATGTTTTAAATTATAGTGTATTAAATATTAGTTTTACTATTTTCCCCCATTTTCCTATATATTAAAATCCTACAGTAAGAGTTTTCACTGTTTCAACAAAAATGTGGAAGGTCACAGCAGTGATTTTTCTCTCTTGGTTTTGATTTGGCTCAGTTTCAGCTTATGTGGTGTCACTTTTACAATCCCACATTATTGTGGGAGGTGAGGATTCTTTGATGTCTAAACGTTTAGTGGGGCTAAGAAGCTCGGTTTCTCATCTTCCTAAAAAGTTCAAGATGACTCAAAGTACCATTTAAAGACCTGAAAGGCTAAGATTTTTAAAATTGATCTTTTAGGTAGAGAAGGGGAGGGGGGGAGAGAGAGAGAGAGACCAATTTGTTGTTTCAGTTATTCATTGGTTGCCTCTTGTATGGGCCCTGATCAGAGATGGAACCTGTAACCTTGGTGTATCAGGACTATGCTCTAACCAATTTAGCTAGTCAGCCAGGGCAGGATGAGATTTTTTTTTATGCTAACAAAGCATTTTGCTATATGTCAGGCACTTTACAAATATTAAGCCATTCATCCTCACTGAAGTCAGGTGATGAAACTGAGGCATAATCCTAGGGCACCCAACTTGTGGAAGAACTTGGATTGGAGTTGATATAGTCTGTCTCTAGAGCCCATGCCTTTTTTTTAAAAAAATATATTTTTTATTTCATGAAGGGAGAGAGAAATATCAGCGATGAGAATCATTGGTCAGCTGCTTCCTGCATGCCCCTACTGAGGACTGAGCCAGCACCCATGGCATATGTCCTGATCAGAATTAACCTCCTGATTCATAGATAGATGCTCAACCACTGAGTCACACTGGCAGGACCAGAGTCCATGCTTTTAATCATGCCATTTTGTTGCTTATAATGGGATTCATTCGGTCCTTACATTCAGGGACTATTTATTTATTTATGGCTTCATTCTTTTGTCTGTTAGCAAATGTTTATTGAGGGTCTACACTGTACCAGGCATTGTGCTACCCACTTTAAATGGCTTTGATCGGGACCAAGGGGTACAGAGGGAGAAGCAGAGAGGATGGGGGTGGGGTGGTGAGGCTGATGAGGGAAGCCCATACCTCCGGGTCCTAGACCTGCAGACACCTAGCACCCCAGCTGCTCATCCCAGCTGGACCCTGGCCAAGCTCACAATGCCTGCTCTGAGGGCACTTTCAACACAGCCCTGCCAGGAAAGGGGCCTTCACATGCCACTGGGAGATGGAAAAGGAGAGAAGGTCCCAGAGCAAGCCCCCGAGGTGAAAGGAGCAGGGCCACCCTCCTGGACCTCCTCCAGGCACTGGGAGCTTCCCAAGCCCTCACTTATCTTTTGAATCCTGAATTGGAAGAAGGCAGATAAGACAAGCCCTTGTGAGTGACATCTGAACCCTCACTGCTTCGTGAACTCTACCTTCCAAGTGGACGGGAAAGGGCTGGCTACATTGGTCACAGTACCAAGAATGAGGGGGGGGGGCCCTTAGGGGCAAAGAAAGGTCAATCATTGACCAGCTCTGCCTCAGACCAGCACCCACGGAGCCACAGGGGTCGCCATGGTGGCATAGCCCAACCAGGGCACAGTGTGGCCCTTTCAAGTTCCCAACTTGGTCAGGAGGTGGGAAAGTAAGACAGAGGGAAGAATGGGGAAGGTCAGAGAAGGCAAGAGGTCAGATGAAGGGAGCAGGGAGATGGAGTGGCTTCCATCTAAGGGTGGCTTCTCCGTGCACCTTCAAGACCCCACAGTCTGTCTAAAAGACTCTGAGTTGGTGCTGAGAGACAGAAATGTTTCTGGGACAGAAAACAAAAAGTTGGTAGTGGGCCCCCAAAGAAAAGGACATGAGGCAAACTACAGGAAGGTTGTCCTGGCCACATGGCAGCCACGTGGCCTCAGCCGGGAGGACTCAGAACCGTAGGGAAGCCAAACAGCAGAGTAGGAAGGTGCGACTCTGGACTGGGCCACAGATGCCCCTTAGTAGCAGAGCAGCTTTGGTCCAGGGTGAGGAGGAGCTGCAGGAACTCCAGGTGAGAGCCTCTAGGAGAGTTGTGGAGCGGGGGCTCACCCCCATCCTGGACCTCAGCCAGTTACCCTGTTCCCACTCTTAGCATCAAAGGAGTGGGGAGAGCAGCAGCCTTATTCAGGGACTTTTTAATAATTTCTGTTCATTCCTAGGCTATTCAGAATGACTCCCTTTAAAGAATAAGCTTTATAGACCTCAGAAAAAAGATTATCTTCTCCTTGTGTATTGGTTTCCTGTTTGGTAGGACATTCTGATAGGCCTTTGAATGGTGGTACCAGAACTTCATAGAGGCTACTTACATGTGTTGGGTGCCAGGAATCCTCTCCCCTCACCCCCATGCATATGTATACATATAATTTATACACACAGGCATTTATTTGCAGGGTGGTCTCTACTGCCCACTTGCTGAGGTATCCCACAATGAGCTCTGGCCACCTAATGAACCAGACCTGTACTCCTTTGCTGCATGGAGCTGCGGGTATCCTAACACCTTCACTCAATGCCTCACCACCTCAGGGCAAGGAATTACTAGTGCTAGACCCAGAGCCCCTAGTCTGAGTGGGCCAAAGGCCCTTAGAGATATAGCAGAGCCTTATGTCCTGGTGGCTTTGGGAACAGGACACACCATGGACCCACAGTGCCAAGATAGGCACCCAGATGCCCTGAGATAGCCCAGACTTTCTGCAGGTTCCAACCTTGCAGAAGTGCTGCCTAGCCTGGCCAGACACTTCTAAATCCTACCTTGCAGAATAGAGGCCACCTGTCCAGCAGGGAGATGACCTGACCACCTTGGATGTCAAGCCTGCCCTTCTTCTCATTCTCTCCAGCACACCTGGTTTGTTCTTCTTTATACCCCCACTCCCAGAGAAATGAGACCCAACCATCTGTTTCATCTTCTGATTTGGCTGGGCTGCTGTTAGGAGAGAGACAGATGTGATCTCAGCCACCCAGGGCTGACCAGGTCTTGGAGGGGAAGGTATAGACTCTTATTGAACAGTTTCCCAGGCCAGAGAGTGTCCTGTCTCAGGGAGGGGCTGCTGAGT